TAAAATTTGGTGCCAATTATAAATCAATACATTACATAGGAAAGAAATTAGAACTGTTTTGCTGAGTGTTTGCTCAAGGGGTCAAAAAATTGTATTTGGAGTTTTTTAAACCTACTTAAGATAAAATTTTTTTTGCTACAATTTATTTGTTAAAAAATTTTTTTAAATTATCAAATTTCTTATTTTCTCAAAAATATTCTCGGATTAATATTTCTTCTTATAATTCAAGTTAATTTATTCTTCACTGACAATTTTTATATCTTTAAATGTTCAGAGAAAAATAGAACCAACGGTAAAAATAATTTAGCAAATTATCGTGCTAAAAACCTTTTTATGAATGGATCCCATCAGTTCCGTACCGCCATTCCTGACCTACCGTATGGCATACTATATTTGATGACGTTACTGTTCTACTGCGACTACAATCATTATCACCGTACTCCCTTTACACCTCTTTCTTCATTTTCTACTCTGCAACTCCCAATACAATTTCTCACCATTTTCATCGAATAGGAGTTTAATTTCGATAAAAATATGGATATTTATTTTCTAATGTATACTTAATGCGATTATAATCTTTCGTGAAAACTTTGGGGTCTTTTTCCCGTCCCGCATTCTATATATTTGTTATACCTTGACGAAGAAGAATTAAGTTTAAGCAATAACAATAAAATATTGCATAAAATGTATTAACAAATTCAAAATTACTGCGTATAGTTTCAGTGCATTAAACAAACTAAAATGATAGATTTCTTATTAAAGTAATTTTTGTATAAATATTCATAATAAGTATTAGTTAACATCATTAACTGTAAGATGATATAACAATGCAATTTTAATTTAATAAATAGTTGTAATGTATTTTTGAATGCAATGAGAACGTTTTTAATGATTAATAATAGATATTGGTCATAACGACTATCGGCTATAACGACCATAATTCATCGGTCCCTTCAATGTCGTTATAAACGGTTTTCACTGTATATGCTTATTCACCGTGCAAGTAGATCCCACATTCAATCCCTGAAATACACGCTGTAAATTTTCCCTGTAGAAAATCCATTATTGTAATCGAGGGGAGAAAGACTCATTTTAAGGTAATTTTTAAAAGTTTCGGATAATTAACAGAACTAATTTAATATAAATAAAAAATTCATTTTTCATTTTCTTAATAATAGTAATAGTCTGTACTTTTTATAAAACTGGAAATTTTACTTTATATTACATGTCTTACGTTTCATATCTTTTTTTATCAGATCAATATATTACATTTTATTATTGGAGCTTGTATCCATCCGATTTTTATAAATATAACTTGTGCTTTCTGTTAATTAATTTTATTATTTAATTAATGTCAGAGTTGGTGACAAAAAATATAATTTTCTTTAAAAAAAACAAACTACAAAATTTTTCTCTCTTTAATAAAATTTCATTAATTAAATCTGAAATAATTAAAACAATTAGAAATTAACAGATAAATATTTTTTAAGATATTTATCATTATAATAGACACTTTTTATCAATCAAAATTAATTAACTAATTAATTATAAGTTGACGTGTCCAACATATGTCAGTTACTTATAAAATTCCTAATTTTATCATTAATTCTCACGGTTTTATCTCATTAAAAGTCACGATTACTTTAATATTATAAAAATAATTAATTATAGTGAATTTAATTTAATCAATTTCATAAATAAAAATAATTCCAAATGGAATTTAAAAATTATCCTCAAAAAAGTTATAAAAAAATTTAATAATAGTAAAAATTGCGACTTTGTTTCGCAATTTTATTATTTATGAAACTTTTTAACTTTACGAAATCTGTTATAGTATATCTTTTAGAAGATTTTATCAATTTGTCTACATTTCAAACATTTCCTTATTATTTCAACTGTTAAGTAATATTTTCTATTATTTTTCTAAACCATAAATTAAAAAAATAATAAATATTTCTAACATTATTCATTTATAAATATTCTTTATGTAATTTTATATCCGTGTAAAGAAGAAATGTTAGTTTTATAGTAAAAAAATTGAGTAAAGTCCTTTTCAATTCAATATTTAAAATTGTTATTATTATCTATTATTATTAAGAGATACATAATTAAGAAATGACCTTATATCTTGTGAACTATTGACATTTTTGAAGATATAAGCTCATCCTGCCATTATACTCATCAAGACCTTTCATTTGAGTACCCACATCAATTTTTCATATATTTTATATATATTATATATGAAAAATATATGAAAATGCATGTGGGTATTCAAATGAAAGCTCTTGATGAGTGTAACGACGGGATGAGCTTAGATCTTTAAAAATGTCAATGGTTAAGAAAATAAAATGCAAAATTTAACATAATTAAGAAACTACCTTGTATCTTGAGAACTATTGATATTTTTTAAGATATAAGCTCATCCCGACATTACACTCATCAATACCTTTCATTTGAGTACCCACATCAATTTTTCATATATTTATATATTATATATATATATGTATATATGAAAAATATATCAAAATGCATGTGGGTACTCAAATGAAAGCTCTGGATGAGTGTAACATCGATATGAGCTTATATCTTTAAAAACGTTAATAATTAAGAAAGTACAGTGCAATTTAACATAATTAAGGAATTACCTTGTATTTTGTGAAATATTGACATTTTTGAAAATATAAGCTCATCCCGATGTTACAGTCATCAAAACCTTTCATTTGAGTACCCACATCAATTTTTCATATATTTTATATATTTATATATATATAAATATATGAAAAATATATGAAAATGCATGTGGGTACTCAAATGAAAGCTCTTGATGAGTGTAACATCGAGATGAGCTTATATCTTTAAAAACTTCAATATTTAAAAAATTACAGAGCAATTTAACAAAAGTAATAATCTAATAACGCAAAATTTTATTTATTTATACTTCACAATTCACGGCAGTCACATAGTGACTGCAAGGTTGCTACTTATTATTATTATTATTATTATTATTATTATTATTATTATTATTATTATTATTAAAATCAAAATACTAAAAATTATCAATAATTTAATATTAAAAAAAAAAAAAGAAAAAAAAATTCATGGCCGGTAATAATTTACGTTCAATTAATAAGTAATGTACGTGCGCGTATTTGGTCAACGTTGCGGAGTAGCATAGGTACACTTGACGGAGTGCTGGAGTGGTTATAAGCCTTGCTTGGAATCATTTCTTTTCGCATGAATAAGCGATGATCTGTACACCAGGCATGCTATAGACACACTATAGTACTGGTTGTTATTACATACACACATATAAGTATATCCATCTCTATGTACCTCATCATACAGTGTCGTTGGCATGGTTGGCAGGCGACTAGCCATCGCCCCACTATCACCAAGTGTATACATGTCCATATTACACTCCATACATATATATATATATATAACACTTGCTCGTATAATATAAAACCAGCAACCTCAAGTCTATCCAGACTTGGTGTCGCCATCAATAACAGAACTTTATAGATGTATGTTATTGTGTAAAGATAAAAAATAATATATTTATGCATAATGATAACAATAATAGTCATAACAGTAACAGCCAGGTCACATTTAAGTCAATCGATCACGCTTCTACAGTTTTACTCTTTAAAACTAAGGCTTTACTTTACATTACCTGTACATTATATGTTTGTACATCGTCATATTTTATCAACCAAAGAAGAAATGTTAATTTACATTTTCTCACCTTAAGTGATCGAATAGATCACGGGTAATTGACCAGTAAATACAACAATAATTTTTATTGTCTTCATTAAGTGTCAAAAATAAATTACCAAGTATCTTAATTACTAATTAGAGATAAATTTTATGTTAAATGGATGATAATTTTGGATTTTTTGGTTGGAATTAAATGTGAGTAAGCTATTGCAACTAAAAATTCAACAAGCATAATTCCGGTTAACTCATGTATGAGAATATAATGTAAATAGCAGGAGTTTGGGCTGGGTGAACAAGGAACTTTAAGTCCCATTATTCATACACACACAACACAAATCACTATATATATTTATATATACCAGCAAAGATATGAGAGAAAACAATACGAGGCACTACAAAAATTTTTTGTCGAAAAGGAAATGACTGTTTATCGAAATAATTTTAAATTGTGTATTGTTGCTCTTATCTCTGAATCTTTTATTTTACAGGGTCAAATTTTTGTAAATGAACTTTTGGATGATTCATGAACTTTTTATTTAGTTATTTGTAAAGAAACGCCCTCGAGAATTTACAACAATATGTTACATTTTTATGTACAGAATGTTTAGTTAATGTTTATATACAATAAATAGCAAGAAAAAAAATTTTTAGTAATTGATAATTGATAAATTTTTTAATTAATTTTTTTAGTTTATATTTAAAGTTTGAAATTTTTTGATTTGTCTTACACATAAAAAAAATTAACTTGAATTAAATAGATAATTTTGAAGAATTTCGGCTTTTTGATTTGAGTAGAAAAATTCTTGATTTAAGGAAATTTTACTTGATTCAAGAATTTTTTGTCTTGATTTAAGACAATTACCCTCTTCAAAATTATATTTTTGGTTCAAGAATTTTTCTCTTGAATCAAGTTAATTTTTTTTTTCAGTGTATAAATAAATCCTTCTATCAGTGTGGTTGTATAAAACAATTATAAGAGACATATTTTGTGAAAAATTAAATTTCTTACTTTTGTTTCAAACTTTTTTTCAAGTCCAATATTTTTGCCTTAATATTAAAATTTCAATCATTCATTATCATGAATATTTCATTAAAAGTTTGAATTATTCATTATCAATCTTAATTTTAAAATTATTTTCAAGTCTAATATTTTCGTCTTGCTTCAAGAGAATGAAACTCTTGAAAATTATTTTTTGGTTTAAGAATTTTTCTCTTTATTCAAGTTAATTTTTTTTTTCATTGTAAATTTTAACAATTAATTGAGTTTATAATAACGGAATTAAATTTTATTTCAGGTTCGTACCTTGTTTGTGAGCGGTTTGCCGATGGACGCCAAACCAAGAGAACTTTACCTTCTCTTTAGAGCATATGAGGTGAGTTTAATATTTTTTTAATTATCAATTTTTATTCTTTTTTTTTTGTTGAAATTGTATCTCAGTATTAAGATTTTTTCTAACTAAAATGCAAGACAATTTTTTCAATTTTACGCTCAATTTTTTCAGAATATAGATAAACTTGTACACATGTTATCTGCTGTGACTGTTAAATCACCTGATTAAATAAAACTGTTTTTTTAAATTTTTCATCATCGTCTAATATAAATTTTAAAAAATATTTATTTTTATATTAATTTTATCAATTGTAACAATAAAAATTTAAAATATATAAGTAATTTTATTTATATGTTCAAGATGATTTAACTAAAGCATAGTAGATACATTTAATCATAAAAAAAAATAATTAATCATCTTAAAATTATTTATTTCAGGGTTATGAAAACTCTCTGCTTAAAGTTACAAGCAAAAATGGTAAAACAGCATCGGTAAGTTTTTACAATAAAAATATAATAATTATTACTTTAATTTATTAATTTAAAATTAAAAAAAAGCAAATCTAGCCGGAGAAAAAAATAAACTTGATTTATTTATTTAAAAAAAAAAATTTGAATTAAATTAAATTTACTTTTAAAATTTCTCAATTGAAAAATTTATCTAAATAAATTTATTTAATTAAATCGAGTTAATTTTTTTTCAGTGTAAAATAATCTCTATTAAAATTACGTATAAATTAATTGTTATTACACTAGATAATTACAACATAATTAGTTTCAATAAATTATACATTCGTTTAAATTACTAGGAAAGATTAATGATAATTTTTTTAAAAATTAATTCACTTATTTTTTATAACAATTGAGTTTGTACTTGAAATAATTACAATCCTGCATGAGAAACTAGGCAGCCGAATCCGTTCCTTCCACCGAGCAAACAAACACTGGAAGGTTTTACATTTTATAAATATTACTTTATTTATCTCATACAAAGTGTTCTAATAAATAATAAACTTTCTCTAATATTCGATTTATAATTAGTCAGAGAAGCTATTAAATAGTATTTCAGTACACTGGTACTTACACAATAATTCAAACCACCATTACTTAAATATTATTGATAAAATATCTATAGTGATATTTTATAAAAGTGGGTTATATACTCTAAAATATTTTCGTTCAAAGTACAAAAGTATCTAAAGACTATTGTGGAGAATTGAAGAGTTGGCACGATCAGACACGAGTCGATAAAATGTAATATAATATATATGCATAAGTGATTCTCGAATAACTTATACGTCAGTAGCTACTTTTTTTAAAAAAAGTTTTATCAACTATTCGTGCTAGATAGTTTTTGTTATTACTAATAACAGCGGCCCATAGAAAGTTAACATGCAACATTTAAGACTAATGAGTCTATAATGTATATTAGGATTTTAAGATTGTTGCGGGATTAAATATTTTATGTTACTTACATCTTCTAAGTTATGTAGCCTTGATTTTTCGCGATAAATATTTAAATAAAAAGCGATTGCTTTGAAGAGTATAGCGGTAAAAATTTAGTTTTAGATTAAAAATTTTTATAAATTATAATATAGGAAATTTTTTGTTAGTTTTAGAGTAAAAGTCGGCCAATAAATTACATTAAATTAGAATTTTTGATGTTTTGACTTGTTTAATAACGAAAAAAAAATTTAGAATTTAAAAAAATTTTGAAAATGTTTTGGAGATTTAGACTTGTTCAAAAATTAAAAAAAAAAAACTCTTGTTAACACTGAAAATTATTTACTCATTATTTCTGAAATATTGTGAAACATTTTTTATTATTAAAATAATCTCTAGATATATAATTAATTTAAGAAATGACCGTGTATCTCGTGAACTATTGACAATTTTGAAGATATAAGCTCATCCTGATGTTATACTTATCAAGAGCTTTCATTTGAGTACTCACATCATTTTTTCATAAATTTATATATATTATATATATGTATATATGAAAAATATATCAAAAATGCATGTGGGTACTCAAATGAAAGCTCTTGATGAGCGTAACATCAAAATGAGCTTATATCTTTAAAAATGTCAATAGTTAAGAAAATACAGTGCAATTTAACAAAAGTAATTATTTAGAAAAGCGAAATTTTATTTATTTACAGTTCACAACTTACAGTAGTCACATAGTGACTGCAAAGTTGCTAGTTATAATTACTCAAGAATATAATTTTTAATTTTACACGTCAAGTGATTTTTTTGCTTTTTTTTAAAATTAATCCTAAAAATTTTAATAAATTATTCCGTTGCTTTAATAAAATGATATTGCTTTAAAACTAGTACAATATATTATCTCGAGTGCATGTAACCTTTTATAAAGAAAATCTATATAATTTATTCAAGCTATAGAGTAAAGTAACGATCGGAAATTTTCTTTTTACAGTGATATAATAATAGCTCATGTAAAGTTTAATCAATTGTAACATCTTCAAGCACAAAGAGCATAAAATTAATAATAAATACCAAATAGTAGCAATAACCAAAATTAAAGCAAAATAATTAATTGTACAATTGCTTTTGACTACATAATTCGTAATATTTTGATTTCCAGCCGGTGGGTTTTGTAACATTTCACACTAGGGCAGGTGCGGAAGCAGCTAAACAAGACCTACAGGTAATTATTCGTTTAGTATTCATATTATCTCTAGTAGAAACTATAACAGATGTTAACATAAAAGTGCCGAGTATAAAAAAAAATGAATATACCTTTGCATTTAATTAATTCATCGACGGTAGTTAAATTATTCGCGTATTTACTGAATAAATATCAAGCAGTAAACTTTAAAAATCAAAATTATAATGTAAATATTATTTATTAATTTTTTTTATTTATTTTTTTTTTTATTAAATAAATTATTCTTTTAGGTATGTGTTGCAAAGTATTGCGATAATTATTTTTTAATGCACAAAACGTATATTAGAATTTTAATCAGGCTAAAAAAAAATGCCTCGTTAACAAACTCAATGGTATTTTGTGATTAAGGGGATCCTTTAAATAATTTTATTTCTATGTGAAGGTAATGACTAATGCTTTCAAATTTTTTTACACTTATTTTATTAATTATCAACTACACAAAAATGAAAATCAAAACAAAAAAAAAAAATTTTTTTTAATTAGAAAAATTGCGCTGAGGTTCCCCTAAAAAAAAAAAAAATGAACTTAACTGGTGGAGGTAGATTGATCTCTCCCTCAGATCTGAAATTAAAAAATATGACTGATTTTTAATTAGTGTAATTAAAAATGTGTAGTGTAAGTATAGTTACCGTCGGTACTAAAATGAAAAAAAAAAAAAATTAGTATAAGTATAGTTATCGTCGGTACTAGAATGAAAAAAAAAAAAAAACATTTGACAAAATGGCGCGTAGTTAAAAGTATTTTTTGAAAACGAATTTCAGATTTTTACTTTTAACTACACGCGCCATTTTGTCAAATGTTTTTTTTTTTTTTCATTCTAGTACCGACGATAACTATACTTATACTAATTAAAAATCAGTCATATTTTTTAATTTCAGATCAAAGGGAGAGATCAATCTATCTCCACCAGTCAGGTCTATTTTTTTTTGAGAGGGAGATTTTAGCGCAATTTTTCTAATTAAAAAAAATTTTTTTTTTTGTTTTGATTTTCATTTTTGTGTAGTTGATAATTAATAGAATAAGTGCAAAAAAAATTTGAACGCTTTAGTCATTTCCTTCATATAGAAATAAAATTTTAAAAATAGCTTTAATTTTAGGTCGCTAGACCACCGGGTCCCTTTATATTAAATTATTATTATTTCTTATAAATCTTTGTAACTTGAGTATTTGCCCAAAACTTTTGTTATTCTCTATTTCTCTTTTATTATAAACCACCAACACGCCACTATGACTTCACGCATCAAAAACTGCCATGTAAAGCCTGTATTTAAAACATTTCAATATTAATTAATAGATTTTTTTAGATCCACAAACCTTTGTAAGCCTCACATGATAAAACCTCAATATTTCTTCAATTAAAATAATTATTTTTAACCATTCTTATTTATCGAATGGCGCTACATTAATTTTATCATCCAAGGGGATTTTTTTTTTCTTAAAAAAAAATTTTTGTATTAATAAATGAAGCTAAATTAGATTCAATACCATTAAAGATAAAATTAGATGTAACTAAAATCATCAATACATTCTTTAGTTTCGTGTTTCACAATTGTCCACTCCCTGTCCTCCCTAATTTACTAATTTAGGGATCTATTTCCAGCAGGGGGTTAAATTTGATCCTGATATGCCACAAACCATACGTTTGGAATTTGCAAAAAGTAACACAAAGGTTAGCAAACCCAAGCAACCAGCCGCTGCAGCAGCCACCTCGCACCCCGCTCTGATGCACCCTCTAACCGGACGTAAGTATGCACCGCCACTCTGTACACTTGCTAATTTATTCTTTTCTGTTTACCTCATTAATTTATGTACTCCTCTGTATCCTTCTCTTTTAGTTTCTTATGTTGGTATTTTACTATTAATTTTTCATTTTTTCTATTTACCTTAAATTCAACCCCCGGACCCTTTTACTAATAATATCTTTATTATTAGCTCGTGCGCTGATAAAAAAATTTAATTGATTAAAAAAAAAATTTTTTTTTATCAAAAAATATCATTTAAAAAATTTTTTATTGTAAGTTAAATTTATTTATAAATATTAATATTTATTTACTTATTAATAAATAAATAAATAAATAAGTGAAATTTGATTAAAATAAAAACAAATTTTTATTTAAATAATTTTTTTGCTTGATTTAAAATGATCAAAATTATATTTTTGATTAAAATATTTTTTTTTTTTTAATCAAAGCAATTTTTTTATTAGTGTAAAATTAATAGGTGACAGAAAAGAGGGATTTATATAAATAAATATAACTCAGAAAAATTAAATTATTATATAAATTCAAAATTTAGTCTACATTTTAATTAATTTTTTTATTTATTAAACTTTTCAATAAATTATTTTTTTAATCAAATTAATTTTTTTATTAGTGTAAAATTAATAGGTGACAGAAAAGAGGGATTTATATAAATAAATATAACTCAGAAAAATTAAATTATTATATAAATTCAAAATTTAGTCTACATTTTAATTAATTTTTTTATTTATTAAAAAAAAAATTATTCCAATATCGCTAAAATTTTATTTTTTAAAAATAATTGATTATTTCTTCTATATGAAAAAATATTTCTAAAAATATTTTAAACTAAATAAAATATATGAATTTATTATTACAAAAATAATTATTTATTTCTAGCCTTGTTCGCGGTAAAGATCAATAATTTAAAAATTAATAACTTCAGCAAAGTTTAACACATATTTATACACTGCAACAGACAGTATATAGTTACGTCACCCTGAAAAGACCACATTAATTACTCTGACACAGTTTTATTTCGATTTGGTATGGTCTCTTGCATTAATACTGTCTTAATAAAAAATTAAACTTTTTCATAGCGCTAAGGTTTATTTTTGGAAAGGGTAATAAGATAAAATAGTATTGATATAATTGCTAATATTTAAAATTAGACTGCGGTAAGTGACTAAAAAAAATCCTACGTAAATATTATGGGTTAAAAATAACTACAGAAAATTTTAATTCGCAATAAATATATTTACGCGTAAATTATAGAATAATTAATAATAATAATAATAATTTGGAGATTGAAATTTTAGATGTAATATTGAAACAAATTTTTCAGACATAGGAAATCCATTTTTCCCAAGCGGACCAGAACTATGGCATCATCCATTAGCGTACTCAGCTGCGGGTGAACTTCAAGGAACACTTCAACATGCAACACTTGTTCATCCAGCATTACATCCGCAGGTCCCTGTACGTTCCTATCTTTGACTATCTGCAGACAAAGCTCTGGAGCCACCAACAAGCGCCCCAATGCACGTTAGTGATATATGATATCATTTTATTCATTATATACAATATTTTTTATTTTGAAGTTTAATAATTACTTTATTTTATTATTGTGATAAATTTAATTGTTAATAATTAATTATCAGCAATTTAAATTTATCAAATATTTTACACACATAAATTTTTGAGTTTTAAATATTTTATATAAATTATTATAAAAAAAAAATTATTTATTTTATTGCATTGGTTTGCTGACAAAATATTATAAAAAAAAAAATGATTAATCTTCAGCGGTTTTCTGGATTTTTTTAGAGTTTATATATTATATTTTTATCAAAGTATTTAATAAATATTATTTTATATAAATAATTCTCTTTTTACTATTTATTGACCGTTAAAGATTAATAAATAATTATAAGATTTATTAATAATAAATTTATCCTTAATATTTCAAAAATATCATTGATAAATTTGCAATCAAGCTATTTTTAATCAACTTTTGAATATTGTGACTTTTTAAAACTCTCTAAAAAATATCTCTATCGATACTGAAACTTAAAACTGTACGTAGAGTTCCTGCTAACAAGCTAAATTTTGAAATTCGACCTTAAATTATTTGCTAACAAACAATATTGGAAATTTGATCATAAATTCTGAAAAGTCAAGGTCCAAATTCTATCATCGTTTATAGTTTTTTTCATGAAATTTTATTAATTTTTTGTTGACATTAAAGAAAAAATATTATTACTTTTCATGCATTGCATAGTTCAGAAAAATAACTTGAATCTCTGAAAACAGTTACAAAATTAAAAAAAGGATTAAATATAATTATAAAAAATAAAGAGTTTCATAAACCAGATTTTATTTCCTTTTTACAGCGATGAGCTAGCTCTATTCATTCGAAAGCTATTTAAGAATAAAGTCAAGGAAGTAGCGTTTTTTTTTTATCATTTTAAAATTTGCAATGGCCACCATTTATAAACTAATTAACCCATTTACTTCATCTTTTAATTTATTCAGGATAATCGCTTCAAGTTTTATTAAAATTCATTTTTCATAATTTAAAAAATATACGCGTTATTCATGCAAAAATTTTTTACAGATGATTTTTTTAAATTCTAACAATAAATAATTGAGTAAAAAATGACTAAAAATTTTGTAATTTTAAGAGTTTAAAAAAGTCACACAAAAAGTTGATTAAAAAAAATTTTTGGTTCTAATTTTTGAAAAATTGATAACATTAGTTAGCAGTAATTTGACTAATTTTTAATTTTTTTTAACGAAAAATTATTTTTAAAAAATTGCATTTTATATTTTTTGCAATTTTTAGATGTCAATTTTTTTTAACACGAATTTTTTCCAAAAAATTGCATTTTTTATTTTTACAATTTCTAGATGTCAATTTTTTTTTAACAAATAAATTTTTTCTAAAAAATAATTTTTAAAAAATTGCATTTTTTACTTTTTAAAATTTCTTCATGTCAATTTTTGTGCCATAATTCATTTTTTACAAAAACTCTCAAAATTGTCAAATATCTGCGAAATAAATTTTGATAAAAAATTGAAATAATTTGTAGATATAATTTTATAAAAATATGCGTTTATATTTAATATTTTTAGGCTCCGATGTCTTTACCCCACCCAACGACATTGACGTCAATACACGCATCTTTACCACACTTTTTACCATCACCAGCTCTAGCTTCTCCAGTTGGCTCATCATCATCTCAACCGAGTATAGCTGTTAGTAATGCTCCATGCTCAACTCTCTTTGTTGCAAATCTTGGACAATTCGTTTCTGAGCACGAGCTAACCGAGATCTTTAATAGGTAAGTACATAAATTCAATATTCCAAATATTCCAACAAATCTAAAGAAGAAATTTAATTTATTAGTTTTATTTCAAATTTACACACGTCGAAAAATTATAAAATTTGATATTATCTGGTGATTGATTGATGAATCTTCCCAGATTGTTCCTGATAATAATTTAACCGAAAATTAAATAGCGATCCGCTTTTGTATTTACTGAAACAACGCACAGATAATTTTATTTAAATTATTCATGATTTAATGGATGATTGAAACTCTCGGGTAAACTGTTGGTATCGATTGCATTTAAAAGGGCACTGGTGAATTAGTATTCATGTCGTTCAATCGAGAGCACGGACAATCGACTCTAGTAAACATTGTTGCCAACTTTGAATATTATTCAATGACTTTTTTATCCTTTTTCATGGAAATATAATAGTAATAATAATAGCGATTTCCAATTTATTTTTTTTTTTAAATACATAATTATAGTTATTGACTTCAAGTTGTCTACTGAATTGATTGAACAATATTGTAGATACAACAAAAGAATTCAGATTTATTTACCAATAAAATAAAATGATTAAAATATTATTTCAATTAATCGGAAACGTTTGCTGAAGTAATTGTAAAACCAGACAAAAAAAGTCTCGAGTGTTATGCGTAAATGTATTTACTTGCCTGATATTGCATTTTTCTCTCACGATTATTATTGAAATTTTAATTACTAAGTTTATTATAGCATTAGCATGATCATTGTTTTTAATTATAATAAACTTGAAAAGAAGAAAAAAAATTTTTTTTAAATATCTGTAGAATTTTTTTAATTATTATTATTAAACCAAATAATTTATTAAATATTATCTATATTATTAAGATAATAAGAAAAATTTTATTTCTAGGATAGTCATATGACTATTGATAAAATTGGTTTTTTTTTAAGTGAAATTTAGTTGATACATAATTTAGTAGATATAAAAATGACCTTGTATCTTGTAAACTATTGACATTTTTAAAGATATAAGCTCACCCCGACATTATACTAATCGAGACCTTTCATTTGAGTATCCACATCAATTTTTCATATATTTATATCTATTATATATATGTATATATCAAAAATATCGCGTTCCAGATGCCATAAGGGCGTATACCGGCAAAAGGTCCCGGTGAAAAGCCATAAGGACGTATAATAAAAATTCTGTTTTTTTTTTTCTAGCAATCATATAGCAATAATATTTTTCTTAGCTAGAATATTTAAAAAGTGATCCTAAAAATTTCTAAAAGAATCAAATTATGTTATTTATAAAACTAAATATAAAAAAAATAAAATAATGAATACACTAATTAGAGTGATTAATAATCCGAACAAAAACAGTTTCACTGTAAAAAAATCGCGCCAAGTCCACGTTCATAAGACTATTAAGAAAAAAAAATTAGTTTTTTCTTTACAAAAAGATATAAAATAAAAAAATTAAAAAATCCAAGTTGATTGTATATGATTTTCCGAAATTAGAAAAAATTATGTTGTAAATTTAAAAATTAAAAAAAAAAAATTTTGGAACGTACTTGGTGTGCGCGGTTGCAAAATATTTTACTCTTAATTAAATTCGTAAAATCTATTTAATAGGACTTTAAAAAAATTGAAATGCACAAATATGACGCACACCAAGTACGTTCCAAAATTGTTTTTTTAATTTTTAAATTTACAAAAAAATTTTTTTTAATTTCCGAAAATCATAAACAATCATACCGGTTACTTGGATTTTTTAATTTTTTAATTTTATATCTTTTTGTAAAGAAAAAAACCAATTTTTTTTTCTTAATAGTCTTATATGAACGTGGACTTGGCGCGATTTTTTTACAGTAAAACTGTTTTTGTTCGGATATTAGTATTTTTTGTAATTATAATAAAAATTCACAATTGGTACCAACTTAAATCTCGCGTTAGCTGCATTTTTT